CATCTTCTTATTATAGGCATGCAACTGCACGCCTATAATAAGATTTTTGTTGACAACAACTATGCGTTGCTTAACATACGTCACGCACTCCGTTGCTCTTATTGGTTGTAGGTCTATCCAATTGAGTGCAGAGGCATTTTTTTTCCTGGTTCGTTCAAAACACGCCCCATAATCACAGCTCTATGGAGCAGTATCAGACTCATATTCTGACTAGAATTGAGTCGGACTACGTCAGGCTAGGTTTAATGGAGGATGTTCTTTTTCCAGGTGGATCATCAAAATAAGTGGTCCTCTTAATTGTCAATCATTCTGGTGATATGTTAATGTACGGCCATCCTACATGCTCATACTCAATTAGCTTTTTCTGAGCATGCGCACTTTCAGGTCTATATGTGTGGTGAGCTACAGTTTCAGCCAGTCATTGAAGCTCGCCTTTGAAAATGGCCAAGGGTTGTAAGAGGAAAAGTGTCTAGGAAGTGTATGAGAAGAGGACGCATCTTTTATAAAATTTATGAAAATCCTCCACTATACCTTTAAGCATGATATGTTTAAACTGCTGTAATTGGGTCTTTCACCTGGACAATGTGGATAATAATATAACCCTATTAACAGATTATCTTGCATCAAACACAAAAGCTAATTTCTTCTATGGCTATCTCAGTCAAAAGACCTAAATCCTATAAAAGAATTGTGGGGCTAAAAATGAACACAGCATGAGGACCAAGCTCATGAGCAGAGAAACGCCGAATATATTAACAGAGAAAGTACAAATAAGTATAGTAACTGTAATTTTGTTCACAATTATTTTTTGAACTTGTGTCTTAGATTTGAAATTATTGGATTGTTTTCTCATCTTAAAGACTGAATATGTAATTCTTAGTGTAGATCAAAAGATGAATATATGAAAATCAATTTAAAGCTTTCTAGATACCTTTAATAGGCATACAAATGAGCATTTTTGTGCTATAATATTTTAGAATTGGGTCGCAAAGACATTTGGTCGTTGCTCTGAGTTACAGATTCCGCCATTTTAAAAATGATAATTATTGATAATGGAGGACTGCAGTTGCTAGTTACTACTGTTTTATTCAGTGCACGAACTATTGCAAATAAATAACAGCCAAGTATGGAAAAAGTGGGTTATAACAATGTGCAGAAATTACTCTGAATGCAATGAAAAAAATGCTTTCGAATTATGCCATTACAAGTAAAATATTGCAGTAGTTTTGCTACACTGAAGTTAAGGATAATACATTATAGTTTAAGAGAACTATAAATATGTGTCTAATTGATCAAAATACTTTGTAAGAGAGTGGCACCAAATGTGCATTATTGATAAGCAGATATTTCCGATCACTGTTGTGCAGGAAAACCTGTAAACAAAATATTCACCTATCCAGTTTGAATTTATAAGCAACTGTTTAAAAATTTATCTCCATTGGCATTAATGTTTCATGGACAAACAGATCTAGACTTTAAGCAACACAAAAACAAACAGGGCTTAGAATGAAAACTCCAGCTTTAAAAGTGGCTCAAAATCTCTTACCCACAGTATGTACAAAGTGTTCTACCACTATTAAATCAATGTTATTAAATTAGTTTCTGGTAAATAAATGTTACTTGGAAAATGGTACAGTTACATGTCTGTCTAACCCTCTAGAATAAAAATCCAAGAAAGGTTTGCTTCTTTTTGTTTAACTGCAGAGACTGCAAGGTGTTTATCTTTTTTTGTCTGTCTACTTTTGGATTTTCTTGATTGCTGCTGTGAGGGTCTACCTTGGAATACAGTGTACCTTTGAAATTGGGTCTGATGCGTGCATCGTATCCTGATGTTTTCCCCATGAGCTTGTCCAGGAAGTCGGAAGGTGAAAGCTGTGGTCCAGCCCTGCCGGGGGGCTTTATCTCCTCCTTACAGGAGCTCAATCTGAAAGAAGCAAGGACATGCAGAAAACAAAAGAGTAAGTGTTTTGAATGTTGTACAGGTGAGTATGATGACAATGTATTTTGTGTTACAAAATAAAATAATTAAACTGAAAGAAATATAGTACATAAATAATTTTTTTTAGAAATTTTGCCAGCACTGACATGAAAGGATTTCACAAAAATGGGAATAGAAAATCTATTTTATTTGTCCCACAATGGGGAAATTGTGGCATTACAGCAGCAAAAGATTATAGCAAAACTTGTCACACAAATAAAATACTGTACTGTACAGTGTTTTAACAATATAAATACTGAGCACCTGGAGAAAAAAAAACCAATATACAGCTGTGGACATTTTTACAGTAATGGATGTGTAAAAAATATCAGCAACACAAAAGATGTGCAAAAATGACAGAAGCGTTATTTAACTAAGCTGTGCAAAAATCAGCATGAATGTACTAGCAACATTTTTTGAGGCTGCTGGGAGCAGTGATGTTTATAAAGTCTTACAGCTGCTGGGGAAAGGATCTGTGATAACGCTCCTTGGTGCATTTAGGGTGCAGCAGGCTGTCACTGAAGGAACATTCCAGTTCAGCAGCAGCTTTATGCATGGGGTGGGAGACATTATCTTATAGAGATGTTTTTTGTTGATTTTTTTCCCCCCACCTCCTGCACTGAGTCGAGAGGGCATCCAATCACGGCGCAGGAGGTTGGAAACGAAAATAATACTAGGTTAAAAATAACCTGAGACAGAGCTCAGGCATTGCCAGATAGTTCCTCCATGATACCTCTAACAAATTGCTTTACAGTTTTTTATTTTCAAGATCAAAGCCAAAAAGAGAGAGAGAGAAAAAAAGAAATTAAGAAATAAAACAAGAGTGCGGCTGTGACGTCAAATGCGTCTGTGTTGAATGGGTACGACCTAGCAAAAAATTTAAACTTATTCAAAATCTCTTTAACCTCTTTAAGTTAATGGGATTTGACACAAAGTTTCTGTTAGATAGGGACAGCAAGCTAGGGGCTAAATATATTTGTAGTGTAGCTTTACAAATAATTATATGAAAAAACAACATTGAAAACTATGCATAGTTTTTTCCACCATAAAGTCATACACAACTTTGTTTTACTCAATCAAATTAAATCCAAGTAATGTGTTATTATATGAAATAAAAAAGTTAAGGGTATGAACATATTTGGAAGACACTGTATGAATTTGAGATTCAGTATTACAGAAGAAAAGTAGAATCAAAGAGAGTGGGGATCAGCAAATCAGTGATCAACAAAGAATTACCCAGCTTTAGGTAAATGAGGATGAAAATTTTTAGCAATTAAAACAGATTGGCTCCTAATAATTAACATTTTAACTCTGTTAGATGATGTCTCGGTTTTACTGAGCTTGTTATGTTTGGAGCACAGAGAAGGAACAGAGAAGCTAAGGTAAACTTGTCCTCCTCCTGTGATTCCCAATGCTGCTGTCCTGGTGGGGGTATGCCTGACAGAATGATGGCTCAATTGTAATGCTATGAACGTCATACAGGGTTGAGGACTGAGTTGATTGGAGCTCCAGAGTCTTAGACAACCCCTGAAAGAAATTACCAACAGGCGAATTTAAAATGAGAATATGAGGAAAAAGAGAGGAGAAATGTTTAAGGAGAAAAGATAAAGATCCTGATCAATGGATTAGTTTTCAGTTTGGCCCTTGGCATGCCACAGCATATTTCACCCCATAATTTTGACACAACTGTAAATAGTTCACAATCGGTCATGATCTAAAGCTTTGTACTAAAGATGGCAGGTTCAATCCCAAGGCAGCTTTGCTAGTGTACGTGTTACTGTGAGTGTGTGTGGAGCCAGTCTCTGATCCATCAATCTTAGGGCCTCTTAGCTCTATCTACAGTCACATAAACTGCGCAGTCAGGGACTATAGGTTGGAGGTCTTTGTGGAGGATATTTCAGGACACAGAGGAGAGATTGACATCATGATATATTTGTGTTCTCTAACAGTTTAGGCTGCAAATAGAAATTCAAATCCAGGCCAAGCCTCATTTCTTTGTCATTACCAACACGCTTCTTTATGTCCCCTCCACACAAAAATTGTGAAGATTTACTGTCACTATATAGAACACTTTATTTATGCCATTACTGCCTTTTTGCAGGTAGAAATGTTTGTAACTGAGTTTTATTTATGTAATACCCAGGTAAAACATTTTACAACACAAAAATGCAATTACCAGAGACATTGCAATTTGCTAGACAACTCTTTAATCCCCTTGTTTTCATAGAAGTTGGATTTACAAAAAGAGAAATTTTAAAGAACATTTTATTTCATAGTTTTATGTTTTTTATATATTTTTTAATATGTAGCTATTATTATTAGAAGTATTACTATAATTATTCCTCTGAAACACATCATATCAATCAGACTAATGACTAACTTAATTCTGTTATATCTCCACTTGGTAGTTAAACTATCAGCTCTGTCTGCTAGCACTTCTTTTGTCCTTCTCTTTGTCTTACACGTGCTAATGAACAAAGTCAAAAAATTATAGAGAGAAGAATAAGCCTTAAATGGTAGTTATTCAGTTAATTATATGGGCCCTGGGATCTGGTTAATGTAGCTTGCAGACACCAAAAAGTAGACTTGAAACTTCCCAAGGTACATACTGTAGGTGTCCAGGGGCATCCAAAAAGATTTCTGAGCCACCTTCACTCTATGTGGAAGAGAAAACAAACAAAACAAAATAATCGAGGCACCTAGTGCTGCCCAGTATGGCGGAGCCAGGATCTCACCCTTGAACCAGGCCTTGGGGTTTTTTGGCGAGCGTCTGGTGGTCAGGTTCTTTCTCCTGGGACACATTCAGGCAGAGCCCAAAGGAATGAAATGAGGACATGCCCCAGTAGGCCAACCACCTGCAGGGAAATCATGAGGGAGCGGCTCCAAGAGAACTGGGGAACAGTAAGCGACTGAGGCCTCTGCATCCTGATCTACCTATTCTGGCTCTGGGGACGGTTTTAATCCACCTTGTAAATTACATGACTGTCAGTTATTTACAGATTTTTCAAAATAAATAAAGTGAAGTCACCGAGATTCATTTCTTGATAGGCTTCAAGTGATCTCTGTAATGTAGTGGCTAATATGTGCAAACACACTACAAATACATAAATGCGCAGTAAATGTAAAAGGTACTGCAAAGACAATAAGCAGGCCTGCAAAAATCAAAAAAGAGACTAACGCATGGCAAACACAATTAAACAAACATGCATATTACATGTCAATTACTATAGTAAAATCTCATAGATAGGCTGGGAAGTGCTATTTCTGGTTTACTGCAACAAACCCTTTAGTCTCGTTACTACAAAATTTGGGAAACTAAACTGCTCTAAATTTCCCTTGGTAATTTCCAAGTTCCTCATGCAAGATTCAAGAGACATTAACCACATATCTAAAATAATGTCCTGATATTTTTTTGGGAAAATCCTCAGACCTCATGATAACCTTAGTCTGAATCAGAAGCCAGCCCCTAAATTATACACAGCCTGGATGTTTTTTTTTAGAGCTGTTAATTATATTAATTATATTTCCTGAACATCCTTGAGGCAAACTACATTTCCACAGGCTGCTTTGCTCCTGGGCACGTGAAACCTGTCTAAGCCTTTGAGTTTTCAAAGCAACAAAGCCATAGAGGTATCTTTATTTCATTACTGCTGGAGTAGCTGACACCAATAAATTTAAAGCCTTACATTCTGGAAGTCCCATCTGCAATTAAAGACCTGGTTGTAGCCAATTCAGATTCCATAACCTTCCTCAGAAAATAATAGAAGGTTTACCACAGGTGTGTGCTTTTAGAGATCCAGAATGAAGTAATCCACTAAATGTTTACACTTCAACATCTCCATTTTACAGTGACAGATCTCTCCAGGAATTTTCCCAGACACCTCACCAAACTCACTTGGTGCCTTGTGACTGGAAAGGTCTAACCTTCTCTTTATCTCAGCATTTAGGACAAATCATCAAATCAATCATAGACCTTATGCAAAAGTGAGCCAATACCAAGTACACTTGTGAAAAACGAAGATTTTATAAGTTTACCAATTTTAAAGCCACAAAATAAATGGAAACTGGATTTCCAGTACTTTCCACATATATGTTGGATGGTCGTTTCGTTAAACTGCTCATTTACTAAGGTGTTCTTTACTGACATTTAATTAGCCTGAACTTTTACTTCCCCTGCATTCCTTTTTATTTGGCCGTCTGTGCCAGACTTCCGTCTAGAATGCGTGACTAATCTCTTTCCATCAATTACATAGTGAGCCTAAAACTGTCAAACTCTCATTAGCAAGTGAATTTACTGGGTTACAAAATCAAAGCTGGATCAAAGGTGAAATAGAACTTTATGCGCATACAAGAACATTTCTCTAACAACGTAACAGTGTTGACTGAACATTCTTATATAATGACACAAGCACGATGAGTAAAGTGTTCTCTAACATCAGCTCTTTTCTTCTGAAGGACTAAAAATTTCATTTTTATTGTTGTATGCACAAGCCAGTGCTGTCTACAGCAAAGGAAAACCTCTATGCATTACACCAAACTTTATGTCTAACAGACCGTCACAATCTCATAAGATGACAAATTAGTGCTTGTGACAACTTATCAGACAAGTTCTCGTTGAATGTTGCTAAATTACATTTAAATAACGAGGTAAAGTTTGGAAGTGACAAAAACTGTACCTAACAGTTACAGTAGTTTCCTGATGTTATACAGCGTTAATTATATTAGCATAGGTAATGATAAAAAAACAAAAAAAAGATAAAAAGATAGCAAAAACTGACTACGAAACAATAGAACATCTGTTTCATACTTTACTTTTTAAACAAAAACAGGATACTATGCTCTAACCACTAGGCCACCACTTCCAAGGAGAAAACAGCACTTTTCTAGATCATTGTTATACTTTAAACAATGTACTACACCACACTATCAAGATTACTTCTGCTAAG